AGTGTTTTTGGCTGAGAGAAGTTATGGGACATATTCGAAGCACTAGTGGTCTTACATTAGTCGTTGACCTTCCTACGATGATCTTTGAAGACAATGCAGCATGTATCGAGCAGTTGAAGAAAGGATACATCAAGGGAGACAACACCAAGCATATAGCGCTGAAGTTCTTTTACTCACACCAGCAGCAGCAGCATCAGAACATTGAAGTCAAGCAAATCTGTTCCGAAGACAACTTGGTTGATCTTTTTACCAAGTCATTGCCCAAGTCAACATTTCAGAAGCTCGTCCAAGGAATCGGTATGCGTAAATTATCTCAGTTGAATCGCTTGTAGTTCTCTTATTTAGAAGTTATGTCTAACTCAAGGGAAGTATCTTGAAACATACTCACATGATCTTAATGTACTCTTTTTTCCTATGATTAGGAGCATTTTTCCCACTAAGTTTTTGCTACCTAACTAGGTTTTAATGAGACACCCATCCCGGGATGATCATACTTCATTGAGTTCACTATCTTCGTCCAGTTTGATGAGCGTTTTAGACATTATGCATATTTTCTTACTTTTCTCCTTAGTCTATAGGTTTTCCTCATTCCTTGAGTTTTACCATAGCAAGATTTTAGTGAGTTTTTACAAATGCATACTTCAAAGTAAATTTGAGACTCGCGATCACTTGTTGTGCCGATGACTTCATCAAGGGGAAGTGTTGCAGTTATTTTTAGAATAAGAATGTGATTGTATAAATCCTAGGGAATTTGGGAAAGTATTATATATTCCTATTAGGATTAGATTACCTATTAAATATTGTAATCCTAAAGGGCCCTTTCTACTACTATAAATAAAGGCACAATGGGGTGAATCAAACACACCTCACAATTAATCAATCTCTCTTCTCTCTCAATATTTCCGAACCCCTCTCTCTCTCTAAACCCTAGATCGTTCAATCAAATAGGCCTAGAACAATGGGTACAAACTTATTCTAATTTTATTTTTTATATTTGGCAAATATTTGAATTGAAAATTAATTAGGAGTTTAATAAGGTGTATAGTGAAGCGTTTGGTGCAGTATTGGACTAAGAAGCTGGATAATAACAAATTCTAATATTATTTTATTTAATATATAAATTATTAATATTTTATTATGATCTTATCTTTTTCTCCATCTTTTCCTACCATTTCCGTCCCACTCTTTTCCTCTTCTCTCATCGTCCCACCCTCTCCCTCTTTTTTTCCTCTCAGACCTTTCAATTCATGTCTCTTTCTCATTTCTGGTCAAACTCCTTATTGATTCCAGTCTCTATTTCTCTGTCCTCCCTCCCTCTCTAGCTATGCATTGTTCGAACGGAACCTCACGGCTCCAATTTTCCCGACGAGTTGCAGGTTTCCCGATGTGTTTTTTGGCCAACCCTCATTAAATTGGATGAAGTTAGCACCGCCAAAAAATTCATCACCATCCCTGGACCGAGATCTTAGCTTTGCATGCTCGAATTTGTCATGGATTTGAAGAAGCCCAAACAGGCCGAGACTTCCAGGCCATTTTCCGGCCACATTCGACCATATTTTGGCCTCGATTCAAGTAAAATCGTAATCTTGTCACTCCCAGCTTCAATTTGGTATATTTTATATGAAAGTTGGTTGTGAAATTGATCTGAAAGATAGTCGGGAAGTTAATGATTGATCTAGGTGACCGGCGATGACGAGGAGTCTGTCGGGAGTGGTCGTTGAGCATGACAAGGACGAGAAATAGAGGATAGTCTTAGCTAGTCCCATGGTTATTGGGGGGTCTCACTAAGACCTCTTAGTGAAGGGTTTTGTCCATGCTAGTCCCCTTTAGTCTCATTAATGTTAGTCCCAGCATGGAACAAACACAGTATTGGACTAATAGCTAGTTCAGTCCAGTCCAGTCCGAGTTAGTGAGGGCAAACAAACGCCCCCTAAGTCAATCACTATTTTTTTTATAAAAATTATGTAACTTACATGTAATCAATTAATATATTAATGCTAGGGACTTTGATCAAAATATAAAAACTGATAAGATCCAAAAATTTGATGCGAACTAAATAAGCACACAAATTAAAACCCTCTTGTGACAATTGCAGTATATGTATAAGTAGGGATCGTTCTAAACCGGGGATTAGGAGGGATTACTAAATCACTTGGAAACTGACTCAAAAACATAAAACAAAGGTTAAAACACTAAACTAGACTCAAAGAATGCAAAACTAAACACTTAAACACTAAAACAAATCAAAAGACTCAAAACAACACCAAAACACTCAAAACTGCCTTAAAAACACAATCTGGGCAGTTTTGAGCACTTTGACTACTTTGGACGAATTTGGGTAATAAATTGAATCAAAACACTTAGAAACACAAACTAAGACACTTTCTAACTAAATTGGACACTAAAGTAAATGGGGATTTAGTTTTTTAACGAAATTAAATAAAATTAGAAACTAGGGACCGAAAACTAATTTTTCCCTTTTTTTTTTTTTTTTTTTTTTTTCTTCCTTCATCCTACAATATGAGTAATCACAATTCAGGCCAACCAAATGTTTTGAATCAAAAGTTGATTGTTGCATTATTAATAAATCACTATTGGTTATTCACTATCTTTTCAAGACTTCTAATGCAATACCTTGGTTTTTTATGGTGAACTGAAAAAAATTGTCTATAATAACTTCATCAAATGTGATTTATTTGTACACATATTTATTAAGCAGGAAACTGGGCTGCAGATGTTTTAGCTTCATTTAGGGCAGATATTTTTAGATAATATATACTAAATTTATTTAAATCCGTCTAGCCGCCTAGATCGTTGCCTAAGTGATAGGCCATGTCCGCTGTCCAACTAGTGCTTAGCGTTATTTAGAACTTTGCTCATTATATAGTTATGTAATGGAACGATACAACAAGAAACAGTGCTTAAATCCTCCTTCAAATAATACTGTTAGTTTAAATCATTCTTCGAATTTTTCGTGTAGTTCAAGTCCTCTATTGAATATTTCAGTTTGTTCAAATCCTTCTTTGAATATTCTAGGTAGTTCACATAGTCTTTTGCAAACCTTGGACTTAGACCTCAAATGGGTGTCCCAATTTTAGCGGAACCTTTTACCCTTTTAAATTTTGTCCCTCCTGCTGACAATTCCTAGCTTTGCCACTGTCTATGGTTCTAGACTTTGTAGCCTCTACCCATGCTTGTGACATTTTGCTTTGTCCTTATTATTGTTTTCGTTGATTGTTTTGTCTTTGCATTGCTTGGCATAGTCACCACTTGAATCATTTTTGTTTACTTTCATGTTATCAATAAAATTAGTGGAGGGATAGGCATGAGGATTCTAGATGTAATGGTCTTCACCTCTTTTGGGGAGGGTAGGTGCCTTACATGTGATCATTGCCGAAGGATTAATTATCTATCATACATTGGAAGGGAACAATTTAATTATATATCATACAACATTGCAAATTAAAAAAAACAGAAAAAAAAAGATTTTCACTATTTTTTTATAGGGTCGGCTACAATGGTACATACCATTCAGAGTTTTATACAAAATCTAACCATTTATTTTTTGTACTACTCAATAGTTCGTACTATGTATTATGGAAGAAAAATTGTTCTTTCTTAGCCCAAATGGAATGTGGAGCTTCAACATATTTAATTGTAAGCAAATTGTAGCCATTTAGTACGGTCTAGTGATATTCCTTTTACTAGTAAGTGAGAGGTCTTAGGTTTAGATTCTTGCCAAAGGTGAATTCGAACCACATTAGTAAGCAAATTGTATGGTGAGCAAATTATAGTTTGTTTAAAAAAATTGTAGATAATATCGTTTGTTTAAAAAAAAAAAATTGTAAGCAAATTGTACGGGAAATAAAACCAGAAAAAAAAATTGTTTTATTACCTTTTCTTTTGGGTAAATTACATTTTACCCCTTCAGATTTGTGTTCAATTTCAATTCCTTACAACATCTTTAAAACATTTCAATTTCGTACATCCGTTAGAAAATCCGTTAAGGGATGACGTGTTAAATATGAGATCCACATTTGAACTGATGTGGCTGCCAAATTTATGTCACGTGGCAAAAAAAAAAAAAAAAAAAAAAAGAAAAATTTATGCATTTAAAATATTATAATAATTTACCCTATTTAAGAAAAAAAAGACCATCTTCCCCGAGCCCTTTCCCCTCCTTGCAACCCAAACACCACATCCCCCACCCCACCCAAAACCCCAAAAAACCTAGCTATTCACCTCCCCTCCCATCCAAAAAACCCACCACAAATTTCTCTAACACTGCCTCCACCATCTTCTCCCTTAACAGAGCTCTGCCATGCCTTTTAACCAAATCGAGATTTAGGTCAACCTCATCGGCACCGTTGACCTAATTGGCAAGCTTGGTCCTCCGTGCGCTTGGAAGTTGGGACTCCAACAATGTCCTTCAATTTGCCGGATTTAAGGAGCTCACTGAACTTGGAGACCACGAAGGTTGTGGTGGAGCCGATGCCGAGGCCGAGGACCATTCTTGATTTGACGTACTCGAAGGCCTTGTCGGCGGCGAGCTTCTTAAGGCATTGTGGGGGGAGAGGAGGGATAAGGAGGAGGAAGCCATTGGAAAGGTGGAGGGAGAAGTGGGTTGGGGGTTGCAGAGAGGTGAGGAGGAAGGAATGGGATTTGGGTGTGGGTTTGGGTTTTATTTTTATTTTTTATAAATAAATAGGGTAAATTATTATAATATTTTTAATGCATAAAAAATTATTATTTTTACACGTGGCACAAATTTGGCAATCACTTGCCACAAATGTGACAGTCACGTCAGTTCTTAACGGACCAATGGATGAAATGTAACAAATGTATTATATTGAAATAAAATAGTATGTGAGGTATGAAAGTAAAATGTTTTGAAGATGTTGTATGCGGTAAAGTGTAATTTACCTTTTTTCTTTTTGTTCGCTCCAAAAACCAAAACCCTAAACCCTCAGAGAGTTCGGCTCAAAGAGCTACAGACTTCAATGGGTGAACCTACAGAAAAGCCGCCCCAGGAAATTGAAAGTGAAGACGAAGAGGACCAGACCTTCGAAACCCTCGGACTCGACGGTCGTCTTATGCGTGCCCTAAACAAGAAGAAAATTCACAAACCCACGCCCATTCAGCTAGTCGCTATTCCTCTCACCTTGTAAGTTTTCCTTCCCAAAATTAATTTGATTCTATTTTCTGTTTGGATTCCTAGAAAGTTTCAGGAAATGGAAATTGAGTTCGAAGTTGAAAACTTTGTTAATTTTACTGTTTTTGTTGTATTTGGAAATGTGTCTCAGCAAGGTAAGACATTTGCTTCAGAAGCTGTTCGCTTCGGAATCAAAGAAGAAACTTGCTCCGAGTGCAATCGTTCTCGTCCCTACCCGGGAACTCTCTCAGCAGGTTTGTGTATTTTAACATTTGTTAAATGTCCGGTTCGAATTGATTATACCCTTTTGTATTTCTGGGTGTGTTTGGTTATAGAATGCGAATATTTATGGCGCGTATGCAGGTTTATTCAGAGGTTTCATCATCGATTGAATTCTGTAGAGCTCCTTTGAAAGTTGTACAGTTGACAAGCAGCATGCCTGCTCTTGATTGGGTACGTTCACCTTTTTCCAATTACATGAAGCGAACATGTGCGGGTGATTCCAGGACCCATTTGCTGATTCTTATCTTACCTACAATTTTACTTGCAGCGGACAGCTTTAGCGGCACTACCTGAGATTCTGGTTATTACACCAGCTTGCATAAAGAAATGCTTGTCTGATGGTGTTCTTCAACCAGCTTCCATTGATGATTCACTAGAAATTCTCGTTCTCGATGAGGTGAGGGAACTGTCTTTTAAACGGGCGCAGAAACATATTTGTCAGTTTAGTTGAGTGTGATGGCATGCATATTCATTGCTTGCCGCCTCAATAATTTTTTTCACCTTCAAAGACTATTTGCTTCTCACCTGAATTTGTATCTGGTAGTTTATGCCGGATGCGTTATTAATAGAGTTGTAATTGTAACTTGAAAACTCTGCTACATTGTTGTTTTACATGGTTTTATAATTTATAGGTGCATTGAATTTATAATTTCACCACTAATGTATGGCTGTTAGGTATACATACTCTATCACGATATTCACTTTGTTCCCTTTGACAGGTTTTGATGAATGTTGACTTAGTATTATTCCATTGATCGATCGCTAAACTGTATTTTGTTTCAGGCAGATCTTCTGTTGTCATATGGTTATGAGGCAGATATAAAAGCATTTACACCTGACATCCCTAAGCATTGTCAATTTCTTCTTATGTCAGCCACCGCAAAGTTTGTTATTTACAGAATAATTGCACCAGTCTTATTTTCAGAATTCAGAAAATTAAGAGTTGATGTTAAGGATGATGTATTTGGTGTCATTGTTTATCTTTAGATGGATCAACAAGCTATCAATCGCATACCTGGGTCAATCTGCAGCGCGATAGTAAAGGCTCCGTGTTGGCTGGGTGCAGTCGCTGGCTACGGGAGAGGATGAGGATGAGGATGAGGATGAAGGATGAAGAGAAGAGAAAGGCAGCAGGAGAGATGGTTAGAGTTTGTTTTATGATTTGGATGTTGTAAATATTGAAAAAGATAAGGGGCAATTTTGTCTTAAAATGTTAAAAATTTGTGTTTCATAGATGTGAAACTAGTCATTCCAGGGGAAGGATGGAACGAAAAATCAGCCAAATTTTGTCCCGTGGGACAACGCGTTCCATGGTTTTTGGGCACACCAAACGTGAGACGAAACACCTCGTCCCACTACGTTTCGTCCTGTACCACGTACCAAACGGTACCCAAAGCTCGTATCATCCCATCGAACAGTGCCAATTCCTCTTACAAGACATGAAGAGTTGTCCACAATTAAAACTTCCCTACTGCTGACTTCCTTGTAAGTATCGAACCATTCTCTTACTGCACACATATGAAACATGCATCTGGTATCCAAAATCCAATTTGTGCAAGCCTTGGAGCCTAATGTTACTGAAAGAAGCTCCCCATCACTCTCATGCTAGGTGACTGTACTAGCTGAACCTGAGCTTCTTTCCATCTTGGCTTGCTTCTCTTTCCAAATCTTGCAGTTCCTCTTCCAATGATCGGCTAAACCACATTTGAAGCAACCTTCCTTCTTTTCCTTTTTCTTCTTGGATTTTGACCTACCTCTGTTGCCAGTTTTCTCTTCCTTTGTCTTTTCCCACCCTCTCTCCTTGCCTTTTGCATAAAGGCCTTGAGAGCTTTCAGTTAAATCATCCAGTCGATTTTACCCCTTATCTTTTTAAACCAAACTGTTAATCTTCCTCCCAAAATGTCTATAAATACTCAGCTTATCCTCATTTGTATTTATACGCTCCCAAATCTTTAGAACTTCTTACCATTTCCAAAATTACTTGCCATCTGCTCCTAACCCAGAAAATAAACTTTCAAACCCAGAAAAACCTTCAAGTCTTCAACAATGGCCACCAATACTTTCATCACCAAGCTTGCCGAGAAGTGCGACAAATGCCGAAACTTTATCGATTAGAACACGATCAAACTCCTTCGACACGAGGGTGATTCGAGCGCTTTCCACCAAATTCTAGGACCACTATTCAAAGAAAGCATCCCAGAATCCCTCACCAATATGCTGAAGGCCCACTGCCTTGAACCTCTTTTCCAAGGTTACGATTGGTCAAAATGGGAATCAGCCAAACCCTAAGGAGCTTGGCCCTCGACCACTGCAGCCTGGGTCGCTTCGATTACCCACATGGAACCCTATTTCGACAGTGAATGGAAAAACCTTAGCATTTTTGATGCCATGAAGCTTTCGACCTATGAGATTGTCATGGACCGAGAGCTCCTGATGGTCGCCCTAAGTTTCTGGTGCTTGGCCACGAATATAATGGTTCTTCCCTTTATCTTATCGGCCTCACCGTGCTGTACATTGAGGCCATACTTGGCATTTCCCCATTTGGTCTCCCAATCGACGCCGTTTTTTCACAGTATGAATTCGACCTAGACCTGAAGGTGATCCTTGACATGCGTGCCGTCAAAGTTTTGACGAGGAAGAATCAAAGACCGTTGAAAAAAGACGTGCAAAAATTGCACAAAAATTTCTTCAACTACAACATCTTGATCAACCACTTTGGCGGCTTAGAAAGGGAGGGCCTCAAGAAGGGATAACACTGACGCTTTCTTGTTCTACTGGTACAATAAGTTCATCTTTTGCACCAAGTCAAACAAGTGCTTGGCCGAGAACATGTCGGTGGCCGAAGCCCTGGCTAACGGCTATGTCTTGGCCCTTAGTTCGGCTGTCTTTGCAAATCTCACTAGATGTTTGGTTGAGGCCTCTGCTGGGAAGATTTACCTGCTCTGGGTTTTCCAACTCTGGTTACAGGTCTAATTCTGCACGTTGAGGCTGGAGATCCCCAGCTTCAACTTTTCTGAAGCAATGGGTCTTCAACTGGTCTCGCAGCCCCTTCCTGCCCATTCGGTCGAAGACATATGCAAATATTTCTTCGGCCTCGAAGAACTTTCTGATGGGGAATTTCTGGTTTGCCTTTACTAGAAGTATCCGTCTTCTATCAGGCTTCCTATAACGGCGTGTGAAGAAGCAGAAAATGTCGATTTTCGACAGTCTTGGGGGTTATTCGTCTTGGCTTGCGACCTTCCTTTCGGTTGCGGCGCTCGATGGGCCAATTGGGAGATCTACCATCCCCACTTCATGTCTCGTCAACTAGGCTATCTCCAAGTCTGTCCTCTACCACTACTTACTTCTTGCTCACTCTTTGGTCGAGAATGTCTTTCTAGTTCCTCGGAGAGGGAATGCGATGAAGTTGTGAAAGAATTCCAAGAGGGTGTTCCAAATTCTACCTTTGGCCGTATACCCCATAAACTGACTATACTAGCACTTTCACCGATTGGTGGGATGCCTATGTCAAGGATTTCTTCGGTATTCTGGTCAAAGAAATCTCAAAAAAGCTCTTTGGCGATATACTGAAGAAGACTTTCGTCCCAAAATCCAAAGAAACAACACAAGGTAAATACCTTTCACTCCCTCTTGTTCAATCCACTTAATTCAAACTCCATTCTGACTTAAATTTAGTTTTTCCAAGTGGTCACACCATAAAACAGACCGACGTGGTTGCAATGGTCGCGGCTAAAAAGAAACTCACTTATCCTCTTAAAAAGGCTGCGACCATCGCTTATACTTTAGTCGAACTAATTTTAATAGTGGCCCCTGCTCTACTGGTCGCGTCAAGCAAATGGCCTCGCCTGAAGGTCAAAACTACAGGCAGCATTGCCCAGCCTCAAAAGTGCATCAAGAATAAGGCAAAGAAGGGGAAACGAGAAATTCACATCATATTAAGTCAGACCACAGGAGCAACCACTCCTAGTGTCCCTCTCTATTCTCCCTTCTTCCAGGCCTTGATGGGGGTGCTGCAAAACCCTCTAGCTCAAACGCCTGAAGTTTATCCCACCATGGAAGCTATGGTTGAACCAGTCGTTGCACCTATTGACCGAGGATCTTGTGATTCTAGGGCCAGTCGTTGCTCTTGAAGTCAGCCTAGTAACCGCTGCCTTAGAGAAGACGGCCACCACGGTCAAGAAGACCCCTTCCCTTAATCTAAATAAGCTTCCAATGATCATCCTGGAAGAAGAGGTACAACCATTATCCTTTGTCTTTTTATTTAAACTATATCTCCTGACTAACGACCAACTTTCTTTGTCTAGGAGGACGAGAGCGAGTGACCCTTGCTGGTGAGGCTTCCTCGACCGGCTGAACTTCATTCCACCAATCCTCAATCGGTGGTCGAGGCGTTTGGCCATCTCGACATTTCTATAGCCAAAGAAGGTGTAGGACATAGAACGACGCCTCTTGTTAAGCCCGAAGCTACGGTAGAGACGCCAGTTCATCCTTAGGACCAAAATTTCAACATTCCTCCTCATGAGGCTACTTCGGCCTTTGTAAGACTCATTTATCACTCTTATTAATTTTTTGCCTTAGAACTCTAAACCAAGAAAAATATTAAATGTCAGCTGCCCAATCGCTCAGTTTATCGAAAATTCTATGTGTCGAAGGGAGTTATTTACATTTCTTGGCCGGCCCAATGGCCATTAAACATAGATAACCTCTATCGGCCGCATGAACTAAAAGGCTACCTTAAACACTAGGCTCGGCCATTAAGCTCTCTGTGTTCGAGCAACGAACCAGCAGACATGGCCAAAATCTCTTCTAGGCAGGTCTAACACATCCCCTTTTTTTGCAACCCTTTTAACTTAGAACTTTTTCTAACAATTTTCTTTGTGTAGCCTTCATGGGAGATCAAGCTTGATGCCCTCCTTTCCAGTACTTTCGAAGTGGCTAGGCTTTTTGCCACCATGGCCAAGCCTTCTACAACTGTAGCTGAATGCAGGAGATTCTATCCCTTTCGGCCCCGTAAGTCCTTCAACGTAAAAGACTCGACTTCGTAGAAGAATGCCTGAATGACCTTGTAGCCAGCGGCTTGTTGAGCACTGAAAGTGTTGTTCATTTATCCAACGTTCTAGAGCGAACCCGGTAATACTTTACTACTTATGAAAGGGCTCTCCGGGCAGAGGATGACCTTAAGGCTGCAATGGTCTCTCATGAAGGTATTTGGCCGGAGCTCGAGGCTATAAAAGTAAAGACGAAATGATTAGCCGACCTCGATTGTTAAATCGCCGAACTTCAAAGTCAAAGATCGGCTGTTGCTTCGGAGCTTGAGGAGGATTTTGAGTCGAATAAATCTCGATTGACGGACTACGCGGCTGGTGAATAGTAGATACAACAACTACAATATGATAAAAGAACTAGGAAGGCTGCAGTCATGATGAGCGAAGTAAGGTGGTTGAAACTAAAAGCCGCTCTTGAAACCTTTCTTCCCTCGACCTCTTAGGACTTTGTTTTTAGTAGTAGGCTGGTGATTTTTTTTATTTTTTTTATTTTTTGTTTATTATTATTTTTTTTATAATTTTGCTTGTACGTCATTTTGCAAAATTAATGAAATGAATCTTTTATTCTTGCATTTCCCAAGTGACTGGATAATATTTCTTTAAGAATTTCCCATTGATTGGTAATTTATGAATTAAACTAGTTTGATCCTTGAGGTGGTATGCTCCCTTGCCGAGAACCTTGTGGACGATGAATTGTCCTTTCCAATTCGACGACCATTTTTCGAATGTAGGATCTTTAATTCCTACTGGCAACACAGTTTGCCAAACTAACTATCTTTCGCCGAACATCTTTTGTCTAACTCGTCAATTATGCTTGTTCGGCAATCTTTTTCTGCCCTGCTAATAAATTATAGGCATTAAGCCGAACTTCCTCCAAGTCCTCTAACTCTTGCCTCATGGCCTGATTGTACTCAGCACTAAACAAACTACTTTGTTTGATAACTCGCAACGGATTTATGCTTAGCTCGACCAATAACATGGCATCGTGTCCATAGGTTAACGTATATGGGGTCATTCCTATCGTTAATCGGAGTGAAGTTCGATATGCCCATAATGCTTCGTTTAACTACAAATGCCACATACCAAGCTTTACTTTTATCAAATTTTCAGGAATACCGATCAAAACTTTATTACTTGCTTCGGCCTAACCATTTGCATGTGGGTAATATGGCGTAGACTAATCGAGGTGAATTTTCAAACTCACCGTGT